GAGACATGGTTATCTCTACATTATGCTTCTCAAGATCAATTGTTGCTAAAACCAATCGATGGATAAGAGAAAGCTTAGAAGGTGTTGTACTTGTAACAAAAACTGCTTTCCCTTTTCTAGAATCAACCTAAGCATCATAGAATACAAATAATTAAGTTAACTAAACACAATTAATTAAGGACCTCATTTAGATGTAGTAAATTGAAACATTGATTGCCTTAGGCACGTGGACCTTAGTTAGCCTACTCGACCATAAAATAAAGGTATCCAAGGTTTGCCATATTGTCTGAACCTTTGCAATGGGAACAAGGACTTGAGTGTCATGCTCTCTAATGTTGATAACCTCCACCTATACTATACTATCTGGAATCACATGGTGGTAGATGGTTGATTCCAACATGTAAACCTTACCTATGGCCACAAACTGCTTTGGGGTGTCCTCAATGTATAATTGTACCTCTAGTGGTGCCTCATTAGCTAAATCCTCCCTCGATGTACCTTTAAGGCGTGCCTAGTTGTCCTCACTAATCTACGATCTACTTAGATGCCTAGTTGAAAGAGGTCCAAAGACATGGAAAATGCCTCCACCTTATCTAGTTGTACATACTTAACCCAAATGCTTTAAACAACCAAGTGCAATCATCAATATGTCTGTACGCCCCTCAACAAATGTCTTGTGCATGAGTTGCTCTTCTAACTCTCCCTAAAACATAATAGTTTAAATAAAGTTGTTAGTAATTGATGATTAAAAATCCATCCAACCTATGAAAAAAAAGATACTTATAATTTTTTCTACTACTTCTTGAGTTGTGTCATTCGTGTACTCCCCCTAATTCCCTCTATTGAGACACTTTCCATTTGGCATGGCAACTAGGTCGACTCTAGTGACTGACCTTGATCCATTACCTAGAGAAGTAGCAACCTCTTTAATCATGTCATCCTCAAGCTTGTCATACCCCACGAGATATTATATTGGTGTAGGCATTAAGAGTCTGCAACTGTTATGCTTGCTTCCTTTTTTCCTATTAATAGAAAAACAAAATTGATTAGTAATAACAAAACATATATGTAAATAAATTATTTAACTATTGAGTTGACTTAATTACTTAATATTTTGGTCAGAGTTGGTACTCGTAGAACCTGTCCTAATTCTCTTGATCAAGAAATTGATAATCATGACAATGGTTTTTTTTTTCCTCCTTTTTATCTCAAAAAATGTATTCAGAGTTGACTTTTAAAACCCCTTCAATGTTGTCCTACATAACTAACATATTTATTCCTTAGCTAGTCAATGTTGGGAATGACACAAGTGAGCTCATATATAACAATTTTATTAGTAAATGTTCAATCATTAATTAACAATCATTATATATATAGAGTTGATGTTTCATATTATGATAGTCAGATAGTCTGTCATATCTAGTTGTTCACACTCTTTAGAACATGGTCCCAACTGTCATAGGTAATTAAAGCCTTACTCCTCCTGGTCAAGGCTACAAAGCTGTGAAACCTTTGCTTATGAGGTCATAAGCAAGCCTTGTCTCGATGTCAATGTCAACATGCTTTATCTCACCTTTGTTTCGGCTAGCTGTCAGATCTTTCAATGTGGTAGGTTGTCTAACCTTTTTCTTGGTAGGCTAAGTAGTCTGCTTTGGATCTCCTAAATGAGATGAAGGAGGAGGAGAAGGAGGAGGAGGAGAAAAAGGAAGAGTACCATCTATGCTAGCCATGAGTCTATATAAATAAAATGAGTCATGTTAATAATTTAAATAACAGATAATTAAGGAGTAAACTCAAAATGAGCAAACCCAAAATGAACAAATAGGTAATGTGCAAATCCAAAATGAGCAAATAGGTAATGTGCAAATCCAAAATGAGCAAATAGGTAATGTGCAAACCCACATTTAGAATAATATACTTATTACCCATCACAAACCCTAAAAACCATGGAAGAAGGAGAATTAAAGTTTTGAACTTGGGAGCGTGAAGGAAAACTAAAGAAGAAGCTTGTCGAATTGAAGGAGAACTAGTCGTTAGAACGTTTTGGTTGTGCTAGCTGGCCGTTGGAATGAGTGGCTAGTGTGCATGGAAAAGTCATTAGAAATCATTTATAACATCGCTTGTGAAAAAGATGATGAAATATTCACATTCTTAGTATAAATAATAAAATGACATTCTTTAATATATTTATAAGTATGTTATTATGTTAATTTTTGTGTTGTGTGGATAACACCTGACATAGAAAGTACGAAAAAAAAATCTTTTTTTACACCGGTGTGAATATTGCTATAATATTATAATTAAATTTTTTTTTAGACAAGTTAGTTAAAAAATGATTTTAAAATGTTTGATTATATTTAGATAAAAAGTTATTTTTTCCATAATAAATCAGCTTAAAAATCAACAAATTTACTATAAATGATAAATTGTAATTAGATAATATGATTTTTTTTTCTCAAAAACACATAGCAGTCACAAACTTTTAACGAGGGAATACATTTCAAACCTAGTCAGATGCTCATCTAGTCATTCAACTCAAAGGCTAATCCAAACCATTGACCTACCTCCCTAAAAAAACCCAACTTGCGTTATAGTGGCTGGCTACTCAATTAATTACAAAAGAAAAGTCTCTAGGCTTCTATAAAGTGATGCAATCCATACGAAGTTTCCTTTCCATGTCTTATTAAATTTATATTATTGTTTAATATATAAATACTACTATTACTATAAACGATTTAATTCATTATGTTAGTTTTAGAGCATCAAGATTACGCATCACATAAGTCTTGACACAGAGGGATTAGGCTAGTTTATTAGCCTATAAAGGCAATACTTCACAGCAATTATTACTTAGACTAGTAGAAAAGGTGCTTTGACAAGTATAATAGGGGTTCACCGTTGGGTTTGAATATATAACAAGACTGTTTCTATAGAAAATTAAAACTGCATAATGGAAAGGGTAAAACATGTTTATACATGGGTCAATATTACTTGACCTCCAATCTGCAGAACCTACAAAGCTCCAAGAGGCATCTTTATTTATATCCTTTATTATTATTCTTTTGACAAAGCCTTTATTAATATCCTATATATGCCTAGATGGTTGAAATATTTAGGGGTTAAAACGTGACTCTTTGCCATATTTCGAAATGGAGAGACAATCTCCCAATGCCACTACTCAGTGGCAAATATTATGTTGATTGCCAATTAGGAGATGGGGAATGGAATGTTAGTATTTTGAATCTAATCATGCCTTCCTTTGAGTTACTTAATGGATAACCGATGCATACTATTGTATGAATGCATGTATTTATACACACCTTTGGATTAATTATTAACACTTATTATACCATTACATAATTTATAATCCAACAGTCATTTCTCATTTTCTCACAAAAAAATAGAGAAGAAAATCCAATAGTTATATATCCGTGCTTCTTGTTTTTTTTTCAAGCAGAACTCGTATAACATTGGGACCGCGGCTAATTTGACAGGTTTTTGCACGTCATATTTATCGAGTTTTTTTATAAATAAATTTCAAATGGATGGCATTTAAAATTATAATGATATTTATTCTTCTGAATGATATTTTTTATCTATTATATTCATTTTTTTATTTCTATATTTTTATCATATTACATATCACCTACCCTTCTAGATCATAATTTTTTTTAATGTTTTACAGTTTCTCTTTTGTTCTAAATTTTTTTATGTTTTACCCATTTCAAATAATATTAATTGACTTTTTTCACATATACTCCTATATATGTAATAATTATTATTCCTATTCCATAATTGTTCTTGTTAAAGATATTAAATGAGGATATTTTAAATTTAACATACCACTTTTAAATATTGCTTAAAGAACGTGCAAAATTCATAATGATAAAAAATTAGTATTACATATTTTACTTTCATTTTCTTTGTCTTTTTTACTTTCTGTCTTCTACAGTCAAAAATATATATATGTGAGATTTTTCCGACATTTTAAAACGCACTATTTAAATCAACACTCAGATCCCGAGTCATACATTTTTGGGCTATAGTGGGAAATTTTTAAAAGCATTGAGTTAACCATGCAAAGATTTATATATGAACTATATTTAAAAAATAATGTTGTTACGTAGCTTATTAATTTAATCTGAATGCCACCGGTCGACAAACCTACAATGTTTGATTGGGATCTACAACTTGAAAAATGTAACAGTACGTGACTGTAATTAACGACCGAAAACTCATAATTTAAAATTTAGCAACCATGCTCTGTTTGGCAACCTTTGAAAACTTGATTCAGCTATTTCCGCATATATATTCTACGTCGACCAGGCTTTAAATGAGCATGTGATTTTATTCTCAATTAATTACATTTAATAACGAGGCTTGATTAAGATGAGTTTAATTATCAATTATGTAGGAATATGTTTAATTAAGTTAATTCGACTCACTTACACTCCCGTTAGACTATTTTCTATAGAATACACTTTGAAAACCCTTTCCATCTAAATAATTCTATATTTATTTCATAAGAATAAACATTACAACTATTACGAAAGGGCATAATAGCTAGTATTAATTTTTTTTAATCAACTTGTACATAAATGATTTAAAACACCCTATATTAGTAATACATGTATTCATGGAAAGTAGGTCAATGGCAGTGGACAGCAGAGCAATAGTTTACAACCATGTAGCGTATGGACCGCGTAATGAGGTTACACCATTGACAAAGAAGCTAGAGGTACTCACTCATCGCCAGGGCTAATAACTGGTTACATGTTGCAATTTTTTTTTCCTCTTGATTGATTCTTATAGGAATAAAGTGATAATTTTAATAGTAATCCTATTTAAATCAAAAATCAAATTTCAATCTTTAATAAAAGAAAACAAGTGTCGAACAAATTTTAAACTAACAACCTTTAAACTTTAGTATTATATGTTGCAAATTTGACTACATATCCATGTGACTTCCTCTCATCACTGCCCAGCTTCAACCATAATATTAAGTAATGCACAATTTGTGTGCCAAAATTCTCCTTCTCAACCTCATTTATGACTCCCATTTGGGAGACCATATAATTAATTTAACCTTATTACAATAATATTGAAAAGTCCCACAAATTATTTTAGCAATTTGGTGTTGACATTTTAGGGGTGGCTGCGTAAATGGTAGAGCTCCGGGATCTGTATTTGTTTCATTATTATATTTATACCGTGTCTAGCTCATAATTGATTGGTCAATAAGAGGGTATGTTTTGTATATTTATGGCATTTATATGTGTGAGATTGAGGGGGCTCTACTAGAGAAATAGTAATAATAATTGAGGCCATGTCGAAAATGTCTAGTCCTAGTGGTTCTGAGATAGAAGAGAAGGGAATTACAAAGGTATACGCTATACTCGATCCTTTCCCTCTCCATTTCTTTCTTATTGTGCATCCTATACTGTTTCTGAATGATTTTCTTGATCTTATACTCATGAATGTCTTTAATTGGATACAATTTTAAGTGATATTTCTCAGGAATATTCCTTTACATCATATCATCATATGAATCAATCCATTAAACTTTTATTTACATAAATAGATAAAAATACACAAAGATTTCTGTTCATGTAACGCAAACCTTAAATAGACCAAACCAATTAATTGTATGAACAAACCATACTGTATTTTGGCATGAAAAATATGGCAAGTAGATATTAAAACAAAAGCTTTTCTTCTAATTTTAAAGCTATTATTGGTTGTCTTTGAAAGATAATTTTTCTTGTGCTACTGAATCCGTGGGTGTGATTATTGATGTTACTGTTATTTTGAAATCTAGGATGATAAAGTCAAATCTTGCAAAACTGAGATGGGTGAGGTGAAGGAAGAAAACGAGAGATTGAAGATGATGTTAGAGCAAGTAGAAAAGGACTACCACTCCTTTCAACTACGTTTCTTTGACATCCTTCACAAAGACGTTTCAAAGGGTGTAGCTGATTCATCTACTGCATATGATGAAACTGAAGAGCCTCATGAGCTTGTGTCACTTTGCCTTGGAAGGAGTCCAAGGGAGCCTAAGAAGGAAGCAAGAATTGGAAACTCCAACAAACCACAAGAGAGAGATGTGGGAACCAACCTTACTCTTGGATTAGACTCCAAACATGTGTTGTCAAAGGTTGTGTCTGATTTGAGTCCAATGAGCTCAGAAGAACCTAAGGAAGTGGAAGCAAAGGGAACATTGTCAACAAATATTCAATCAACAAAAGTGATAAATGCGAATGGCGATGTTTCAGACCAAACGCCAGCTAAGAGAGCCAGGGTATCCGTGAGATCCAGATGTGATACTCCCACGGTTAGTATCAAAGAAAAAGGACATATCTTTGGCTACCGTTAAATTAGTTTTTGAAAATAGTAATAAAAGTAAAATCAAAGTGGTATTTTTCTTGGTATTTGTGAAAACAACCAAACATGTGCACTTATATTTTCATTCTTGTATTCTAGGAGATTTAATGGTTTTGTTATTTTTCTTTAATTAATTTCTAACGATGGGTGCTTCTCAAACAGATGAATGATGGGTGCCAATGGAGGAAATATGGACAGAAGGTAGCAAAGGGAAATCCATGTCCAAGAGCATACTATCGTTGTACAGTTGCACCAACATGCCCAGTCAGGAAGCAGGTATATACACATAGTTTAATTTATATACCTTGTCAATGTAAAATATTTTTAAATACGAATTCACTTAATCAATATATCATAGAACAGCGTATGACAATGTAAATCAATTAATACGAGGTTATTTTAGTTTTATCTCGACATTGAATATCAGATATGTATCTGTGTAATACTTAAAGAGAGAACTTTATTGTTTATTATAATTTCATGCATCTGACTTAAATAAAATTATTTCTAATAAAGAATATTTTGATTTAGAAAAAAAGTAACATGATAAAATAGTTAGTTCCTATTGAATATTTGTCTAAATATATATATTTTAGATTCAAATTATACAAATATAATCTCATATACATTATAAATGTTGTGTGCAAATTGAAGTTATTGCTTCATATATATATTATTGAGTAATAATACTCCAACTCCAAAATTTAATGCATGAAAGAACCCACAAAAATTATAATTATTTACAGTATAATTATATAATTATACAAATTAAACTCATACATGGATGTGACTTCAGGTGCAAAGGTGTGCTGAAGACTTGTCCATCTTAATCACCACCTATGAAGGAACCCACAACCATCCTCTTCCAGTCTCAGCCACAGCCATGGCTTCAACCACTTCTGCTGCTGCTTCCATGCTGTTGTCAGGTTCTTCAACATCTCACCATGCAGGTCACTTTTCTGCATCTTTTGGAAATTCTCCTGCCACACTAATCAATGGTCCGAGTTTCAGTCAACAATTTGATGAATCAAGAGCGAAACAAATCTTCTACCCACCAAATCATGCCTCACCACATCTGTTCCCAACAATCACTCTAGACCTAACTTCTCCATCTTCTTCCTCCGCATCAACTCAATTCCATCATTGCTTATCTTCAAACCCTAAATGTTCTCCAGCTAGTCTCAGCTTTTGTTCCCCACAGCATAACTCTATACCATCCATTTGGGGTTATGGCACAAGTACAACACCAATTGACAAACTACAAACAAGGCCAGTTATCGAGGGAAATCAATATTTCCAAGAAAATAACTTCTACCAACAATGCATAACGAACCAAACTGCTTCCAGAGAAGCTTTGACAGAAACAATAACCAAGGCAATCAGCACAGACCCAAGTCTTCGTTCAGTAATAGCTGCTGCAGTTACATCAATAGTGGCGCATGGATCAAACAGTGGGAAACAAGAGGGAGCAGAGAATGTTCTTGGTTCAGGGTTGAACTTAAAACTGGGGGAGCATCTTCAATTGGCTTCACACAATCCCTTGAACCAGAATGGGAAAGGATTCTTGACAGGCTACTTCAAAAATTTGTCCTCTACAAGTTCTGAGGCAGGAAACTTCATTCTTCTTAAACCACCATTGCCATTATCTTTCTCCAAGACTGACACAAAATCCAGATCAACCATTATGTTCCAGAAATGAACACGCATCATTAACTTTCTCTTCCTCTCTGACGTCCCCAAGGTCCAAGGTCCTATTATTTAATGTCAAAATTAATAGGACTCCACAAACAAGAGATTAGACATGCCAGCAAGAAAATCCCTGTCAGGCTATTTATTATTAGCTAAAATTATGTAACTTTCAAATAATAAAATATATGTAAGAAAAGGTGTTTAAAAAATATGTTGCTAACATTCATCAATGAAATTAAGTTTTGAAAAAAAAAACTAGAAATCAATATCGTCTTTCCTTACAGTGTAGTTATTCGATGCCGTTTTTGTAATACTCGAGTAACTGATGTTCAGAGTAATAGACAACCTAATACAGAAGTTACTACAAAAGGCCCGTACTATAAATTTTATGCTTTGGATTGTTCTAAAATCAACAGACCATATAACGCAGTTCGCAAGGCATGCATGCATTCCTATTTTAAAATTTTTCAATTTAGTATTTAACTAATTGATTTGCTTAGTATTGTGCCAACTTTACAATTATCTGGTTTTAAACTTTTGGAATAACTAGGATAACGAAGAATGTTACTTGATAAGGAATTTTTTTTAAAGTTCAATTAATGTTCACATATATAACGTAATATATTAAAAAAGAAATAACTTTTGATAAAATAACATTTGTAGCATGCATATTTACATTTTGTGCTTTTTTATTTATTGTATACATTGATTAAAAAAAATCAAAATAGTAAAAATTGTAAGATTTATATTCTATTTAGAATTTTTATTATAAAATAAGTTTTAAAATAAATTATCATTTAAAAATTTATATTAAATATTAAAAATATGTTTATATCATAAATAAATTAAATTTTCTTTTTATAACATTTAACATATTTATTTATATATTTTTATTAGTATTAAATTATTATAAAATAAGTTTTTAGGACTGTAGTTTTAACCAAACACTAAAAAAATGTTTATGACAAATAAATAAATCATACTTAAGATATGTATTTTTAGTGAAGGTTAAATTCAGGTTTACTAAATTATAGATAATCTATTTTGACATAGTTTTAGTCATAATTAGAGATATAAAAACTTGTAAAAAATAATTATAATATATATTTATACTTTTAAAAGTGTTATGTAAAATTTTTAATACTATAAATATATGGATAAATATTGTTCCCATTATCTAAAATTTCTATATCCATCATTAACAATTGTGTTGGCAATATTGTGGTAATACTATTGACGTCCATACTATTATATTATTATTATCGTCATCATTATTACCATTATTATTGTTATCTTCATTATTGGTGTTGTCGTTATCATGTGGTAAACATAATAGTGGTTGTAGCAATGTCATTGACAATAGTAACATTAGTGATGATAGTGGTAGTGATGGATGGCGATAATGGCGATACCAATAATAATGATGGTAGCGTTATTGTTAACATCATTAATTGCCACTAATATCGCATTTGTTGCCATACTCATCTTTGTCGTCATTATTACTACTATTGTCGTTGTCACACAACAATGACAAAAGTGGTAGTGACAATAGTGACAGTTGTCATTGTGACAACAACGATGAGTATTATTGATGATGGTAGTTGTAGAGGTAGTAATGCAATATATTATTTCATAAAAGAGATTTATATAATTGAGTTTTCTTCTCAACCATTATTTATTTTTATTTATAATTTAAGATTATTATTAGTGATTCTTATTTCTTATTTTAAGAATTTTCTTATTTAAAATACATCAATCAAAAGTCATTAGTTCAAGTAATTCAACACTTGTACTTTTTAATCAATGATTGAGGTTCAATACCCACCTTGAATATGGAGTTGCAAATGGAGATACCACTTTTCTTCGATAAGAGTTAATTCGATGGGAAGAAGTTATATTTTATTAATGATCTTGACCACACACACACATATATAGTTGAGAAGGGATTTACTTATTTCAAGAATAAGTCTTACTTTACTTAATAACTCATATTTTATATTAAATTTCATTAATCAAACTTTTAAATTAATTTTTTTAATACATAGATCAAATTTACAATTTTTTTAAAAAAATAAAAACTATTTGATACGTCATTTCATTAATTTAAATTAACGGATAATCATAAAAATATTCTACACGTTGATTCTATATAACAAAGTATCATATGATTTTTAATTTTTTTTTATAAAAATTTATAGACTTTATTTATACATTAAGAATTTTTAGTTTAACGGTTAGATATTATTGGTCAATTTTGAATTAATGAAATAAAGTATAAATTTTTTTTAATTTTAAAAAATTTGTTGACTTGATTTATATATTAAAATTTTTAATTTAATAATTAAATCATTGAAATTTAATGTAAAACATAAGTCATTAAATGAAGTCAGTTTATCAAAACTTACTAGAATAAGTGAATTTATCATCTATATATATTTTAATCTATAAGAGACATTAACGCAAGTAAAAGCACTTGTTAATATGAAAATAGAAGAATAATTAATAGCAACTCAATAAATGACTAAGATTCAAATATTATAAATAAAATTATTACGTACGTGATCATTATAATTGATTTTATCATGGTTGTCCTTATCTCCGTTATTTATAAGCTATTACAAATAATTTTCTACTTCTTACTTTCTTTCATTTTTCCTTAATTGTTCTACACTTTTTTTTATTTAAATTTTGCTATAATATATTTTATCCTTCATCGTTGACATAAAAGATTTGCTCTATAACTCTAAATTTAAATGAACAACATATCTACGGACCTTATAATAATTTATGTTTGTTAATTTTTGTGTAGTAGAGATTACGTTATTTTCCCAAGATACATTAGAAAATTTAAAAAGGTGATTTCTCCATTAAAAGTTTTTCGTTTATTCTTTTTTTTAGGCTTGATGTCACTTTTTATATCTAAAATTATATATACGGTATCGTAAATTTTTTCCTTAATTTTTTTCTCAACTTTTATCACTCAATTTACAAAACATGGCAAATTTTATCACAATCATATTTAATTAAAAAATAACCATTAAGATATTTTAAGTGATTATATATCTATTAAATCCACAAATACATGGATTAGTTGGTGCAAGACTGTTTTGGTTTAAACTAGTGATCTTGAATTTAAATCATGAGTACATAGTTGCACTAATTAAATACTTGGAGAGAAATTGGTCCTACTCAAACTTAAACGACATTGCCTCTAGCATCGCAGAATATCTGAAGTGTTTGGTTGGAGGAGAATCAAGAAGAAAGAAGGAAAACTGTTTTTATAATCCTTTTAGTTTAGTTCAATTCTTAGGAAGAGAAAGGAGGAGAGATGAACAAAATTTCTCATAATCTAATTTTAATTCCCCTTTAATATTTGAGAATTTGAAAGGGAGGATAGATTTTAAAACATTTGTAGTATAATATTTGAAATATCTTTACTTATGTCTTTAAATTTAAAATTATTATGATACAAAATAAATTTTTTTAAAATTTCGCATTTCTTTGTGAATTAAATAAGAAAAGAATTATTTCTCCTTTCCTTCTCTTTTTTAACTAAACAAAATTTCTAACTCTTTCTTGTTTCTCCCACTCTCTTCCTTTGAAATCTGTCTTCAATTTCTCCTCTTTGAATCAAACATACCCTTGGTCAAAAAAATATATTATCTTCGATTACAATTAAGACAATTTAATGGAAATTATTATTTTTTAAATTGTGTTGCAACTAAGACATTTTCTAATATATTGTAAACTAGAGGACAAATTCTACGTAATTTTTGAAACAAATTTTATGACATTGGATAACTTTCCAAGCAATAGCAATCTATTTATTTATTTATTTTTTCAGTTGAAATAATGAGTTGTAGGACCATAAAAAGCTTACGTAAAATCGTAAAGAGAAATGAATTTTGACCAAACAATGTCTTCTAAAGAAAGAAAACTAAAAATTGGAAATCACTTTATCTATTCATCGTGTTCTTGTACACTCAACCATTTTTATAGTATACTTAATTTCTTCACAGTTGTTGCGTATGACATTGTTACTTTAGACAATAAAAATGAACAAAAATTTGACTAAATAATCCCAATGAAAAAGTCAAATTGCTTCAAAAATTATTATTAAAATAAGATAGAGTCCATAAACTTGAAGCGCTTGAGCTAAGAGGCATCAAGCCATGAGCTCAACCTTGTTCAGCCAACTGATTCGCTGATAGGATGGTTGACAGTCTCTCAACCTCGAGTACATATATAGGTGAAGAGGCTTCAAACTAGCAATCGCAATCCGTCGACCAATGGGACAATACAATATATATATTATAGACACTTTTTATATATTTTTTTTTCACATTATTTATGTCGTTTTTAAATATCTTTTTTATTTTCTTATCTCTCCCAATTATATACAAATAATACCTATATAAAAAAAAAGTTCCCTTAAAATATAAACTGCCAGGAAGATTAGAGTAGATTATTGTATATATAAAAAGTAATGGGATACCCGGCCTTTAATTTTACGCACATTACATACCATTAAAAAAACAAAACCTAATCGTCCTTTTATATCAAACGTTATTTATAAGCCCTTCAAACATATCATAAGAGTCAAAAAAAAAAAAAAAATTAAGAAAAAGCCTCCATCTTGTCGATCACCCAATATTGACATATGAATATAACGGCCGGGAAGATAAAGTTTTCATTATTTAATAAATTCAATATATTCAAAGTCAAAGGATTTTGGTATATATCGGACTGTACGTGGGCCATTTTTTCTTTATCAAATAATTGAGTCTCTTTGACATAAGTTTTCCTAACATATATATCTTGCTAGTTTCCACATCCTCTCCATCTAGGATCCAATTCCATGTCACAGCCAAAATACAGCATGCGCTTAGTTCTTTGTTTATTGTTGGTTTATGTTCATGCGGTAGTAATCTTTGCGGCAAGCTCAGATGTACGATATAATTCATTCCTACTCTCTATCATTAATTCCCTCTAGCGTTTGTATATATAGTTTTAAGGAATAGTAGATTACTTCTCGTGAAATAAAATCATTCTAATTTCCTAATTGACTTCATTTTTAGGGTCGTAGACCACAATCACAAGATTGGTTAAACCATGGTGGAGATTTGTTCAACAGAAGATACGCTGATAAAGAGTTTAAGATCAGCCCTCAAACGGCACCGAACCTACGTTTGAAGTGGAAATTCTATGCAGGCAAAGATATCACTGCAACGCCAGCCATATATGATGGCACCCTTTATTTTCCAAGCTGGAATGGTTACATCTATGCAGTTAAAGAAGATGATGGATCCCTTGTTTGGAAGCAGAACTTGGAGAATCTGACAGGTATAAATGCACCTGGTTTTGTTCTCAATATAAATTGGACAGTGTCAAGATCAACTCCCACTGTTGCTGGGGATTTAGTGATTGTTGGAATCTATGGCCCTGCTGTTGTTATTGGTCTCAAAAGAACAAGTGGTGAACTTGTGTGGAAGACCACTTTGGATAATCATCCTGCAGCACTCATCACCATGTCTGGAACATATTACAACGGGTTGGTACTACTGAACATCTCTTCACCTTCTTTCCTTATATGCTTTTCTAACTTGTTTGTTTGAACTCTCAGTTATTATAACATCCATGATTAAGATGAGTTTGATTATCCTTTTTTCTTTGACTTGAATTCATGACCTTATGTAAGGAGAATCAAGCTTTTTACCACTTTAGTCAACGTTGTACATCATCTACCGTATTCTTTTTTGAGTATTAATTGATTCTGTAATTAACAAAAGCATTTTGATTAAAGAAAAAGAAACTTATTTTTGTTCGTGCTTTCTCTATTCTCTGGTATGGATATTAAAACCACCTTTCTCGCTGTTTTGATCCCTCTTACCCAATTATAAAAACTAACATCTTACAAAATTTCTAATTAAAAATAAATTATTTTTAATGATGTGTCATTTTTTAATTAAAAAAACCAGGACATGTGACAAGTGATTTCAAGGTTTATATGCCATTTGAACAAAGTAATTAACTTTGCTTAATTTATTATTATTTTAGATTGTCCGACTTTAACTATTTTCATACTATGACCTTGACAAGTTGATCATTTAAAAAGGGGAAAAAAAAACAAGAAACTCCGAATAACTTCGTTTTGACCCCTTTTTACCTCTACAGAAGTTACTATGTCGGAACATCTTCGTTAGAAGAAGGCGCAACCATTGAGCAATGCTGCATATTTCGAGGAAGTCTTGCAAAATTTGATGCTCAATCTGGTGCCATCGTGTGGAAGACCTATATGTTACCAGATAACAATAACACAAGAGGGGAATATGCAGGAGCTGCCATTTGGGGTAGCAGTCCCTCCATTGATGTTAACAGAAACCATGTCTACGTTGCCACTGGAAACCTCTATTCTGCCCCGTCACATATACTTGAATGTCAAGAAAGACAAAGTAATCAAACTAAACCTACTGAACCAGATGAGTGTGTTGAACCAGAAAACCACTCCAACTCAATCTTGGCCCTTGATTTGGACTCTGGGAATATTACATGGTATCGCCAGCTAGGAGGCTATGATGTGTGGTTCGCTGCATGCAACAATGCTTCAACTCCTAATTGTCCTCCTTCAGGTCCCATCCCCGATGCTGATTTTGGTGAGGCACCAATGATGTTTACTTCATACGTAAATGGAACCAAGAAAGACATGGTTGTTGCCGTTCAGAAAAGTGGCTTTGCTTGGGCTTTAGATCGCAACAATGGCAACCTCGTCTGGTTTACGGTAATAAATATTTTATAAATATATAATATGTACTGTCATAAAGATTACTATACTGTTTTACACAAACATATCTATCGAGAAACTACATTATTGCATATTAATAAGTAGTTGTTTTGACCAATTCTAGATTTGAATCTCTAGAATAAAGTTGTGTTAAGGATGAAATTAAAAAATGTGATCAGAACAAAAAATTCTATTAAAAATAACCTACATATAAATACTTTGTATAAATAATATATATGTTATTAAAAGGAAAAACCACCTTTTTGCCACAAAATGGTGGAATCTTGTTAGATTTCAATAGAAACATATTCATATTTTACACAATCAATGAAACAATGGAATGAAATTAAAGTCATTCATACTTTTGTAGGAAGCTGGACCTGGTGGGCTTGCAGGAGGTGGAACATGGGGTGCAGCAACAGATGAAACGAGGGTTTACACCAACATTGCAAATTCCGGGGCCAAAAATTTCACTCTTGCACCATCAAACATGACTACAACCGCTGGTGGGTGGGTGGCAATGAATTCCAGCAATGGCAAGATTCTATGGTCCACAGCTAACCCTAGCAACAGCACTTCTTATGGCCCTGTCAGTGTTGCAAATGAAGTTGTCTTTGCTGGATCTGTTGATAAAATGGGATCCGTTTATGCAATCAATGGCAAGAGTGGGAAGATCTTGTGGTCCTATGAAACCGGAGGAAGTGTCTACGGAGGCATGTCAATTAGCAACGGATGCATATACGTGGGTCATGGATATAATGTAAGTTTGGGGTTTCCCATATTGACAGGTGGAACTTCACTCTTTGCCTTCTGTGTCGATCTGAAGTAATTTTTATATGTATTGAAATGTATGGATCGCTTTTATCAAAAATAAAGAAATTCAGAAGTATATATGTTTTGGTTTATGAATACCCGTAAACATCCCTAGATACCATCTTTTTTATTAATCCACTCTAACAACAAAAGAATGACAATATAATTAAGGCAAAAAATATTAAAAAAATTCAAGGTAGATATTCACTTTCTTATTTTAGTCTCATCATCTTGATGTTAAAATTACTTGAGCATTATTTGAACACCTTGAACTTGACTCAAATAATACTTTAGAGATTTCATCTAAAAATCCTAGTTAGTCCATCGAATATTACACCTCCTTTGATTGGTGCGACGAAGAATATGTATAAGAATTTTTCGATCTGAAAAGCTGATCGGTGTACTGATATATATCCTTTGAATTGTCTAATATATTTCCCTCACAATTCTACATTTTCTTTTGTTGTTGCTAGAAGCCTAGAATAATGCTACGTACCATTCATCTGACAGAGACGAATAGATATGTTTCTTATTTTAAATTTAATTGACTAATTATTTCTGTTAGTTAAGTTAAGGTACTAGAGGCTGTCGAAAAAAAAAAGTTTTGTAAGGTAGAGATTACATTCTTCGGAAAAATACATTGCTTAAAGAATTTCAAAACGTACGATGATGTCTTCGCCATAAAAAAAATGTCTTACTTTTTTTTATTTTTATTTATCATTAATTAGTTGGGATGAGCAGCTAATGCTATCATCGTCATAAAAGTTTACATGAAGAAAAAGGAATATTGACCAAACAATATGCCTTGAAATTTGGAAAAGACTAAAAATTTGAAATCAATTATGATATATTCACAATTGTATATTATAAATTATACTAATTGTTATATTATTTAATATTTTTCTATTTTTCTTAAAATCTACTTTTGAATTGAAAGTTATTATTATATAAGTTATATTTACAAATCTTATATATTAATATAATCGCTTATTTTATACATAAATATAGTTGTAGTTCTTACGTGTGAATTTTTGTTTCTTTAGACAAGAAAGATAAAAAAGACTAGACCAGGGACTTAATTTAATTAGTAAACAATCCATCAGTTAATTTGTGATAATTTGAAAAGGATGTGATAATTCTTTTTCTCTTCTAATTATATGATGAAAGACAAATCTTTAGGAAAGGGTCAAGTTGTATCTTGAGGGCAAACTGAAAAAAATAAACCCTCAAATGGAATTCAATGACTCTTGAAGGTCTCATCATTCGTGAAGCTAATGACATTAAAGAAATGCTAGTTGGGAGACAATCCAACGAGTAACATTATTCTTCCTTTCTTATTTTTGTCATTTTTAATTTGTTGGTATTTTGATATACTCGCTCAAAGAAAGCTCCGTGGTCGCTTAAGCATGTATATTATGAGAACTCCAATGTCCTTTTTGTGTTCACTCACTTAGATAGATTTAACATTAATTATGGAAAATAAAAAAAGATAGATTTATTTGAAGAACGAAATAAAGATAAAGAACATACTTTTAGGAATTTAAAATAATAAAAAAGATTGAAAAGAAAATTGAAAATTTATTATTCCTCACACATATCATTTCTAATTATTATTCAATTTCAGTAATTATAAGGTTAATAATCAACAAAAGTATTTTAACCCTAATTTCTTATATGGGAAATTCTAAGTTACTTAAGGAAAATATCAATTTCTTGGTGAAGTTTGTTAAACAACATGCATTAAGATTAGAGGTTTAAAAGTCGACTGATAAAATTTATCCTAATTCCTTGGTAATAAATGTTATCAACATTTTATTTAGTTAGTAATTTTAAAATAATTTTTCAAACTATTAAAAACTATAAAATCATGAAGAGGTTGATAAGGTGATAAGTGCTATATAATTTCACTAATTTTATGGTACAATTTGAAGCACTTATATCAACTTCCGTTGACTTGATATCTTGATTTGAAGAAAAAATTATCTCATTTGTAGAAGATTAACTTTGGTCCTTAAATCATGTTTTTAGGTAACTCAGAAGCATTTGGTTGTTATTTTGTAGTTTAGAAAAGAGTTGGGAAACATTGAAAGAAGTTTCAAAAGTGAAGAAATTTTTGGTTAAGTCTTCACACTCAACCTCAGTCTCACATTCAGCCTCAACTTGGCAGAGAGTTAGTATAGCAAGCTCATTCTCCATGCTAAGCCTCAGTCTAACGCTCAGCCTTGGCAGAGAGTCAGTGGAGCAAGCTCTTTTTCCCATGCTAAGCCCTCCTTTTTGAGTTCTAAGTCTCGCGTTAAGCATGGCTACTCACGCTTAGCACCAGAAGTGCTAGCATGTCATTATTGAGATGAGACAAAATGTTTTATGACCTAAAGGGGCGATATTCTAGGACAACCATTAAGGAATCATTCTTGAAGTCTGTGTGGTGGCTGGAGAGTTCTGGAGCCTTTAAGATCAAACTTCCTCCTTTTTTCACCATTTGTAGTGTGCTACATGCCTATGTGTAGCTAAACTCTCCCTTGTTGGGGTTTGATGTAACCTAACCCATTGTCATGTATACTCGCTAAATTATCAATCTCAAATGTTATCTAGTGTTATTACTCTATCTTTTTTATTTAATGCTTGTTATGGTTTAATCTCCCTTAACTTGAACTTGGGATTTTAAAGTGATTGGAAGATACTTATGAACCTTTGAACTAAAATAGAGAAACTAATGGTGCTTATATATAGGAATAGAGTAAATGCCATTAATCTTTCTTAAGCTCTTGATTTGAAAGTTGGTTTCTTGGTTAAACTATTCAAGGAATTGATAAACTAATCTAAGAACTTAGTTCCCAACTTGTAAGGAATTTAGGATTGCCTATATTTGTGAATGGTTGATAAATTCTGAATTATAACTAATTTGAGCTTGTTTGTAAACACGAGAGAAAGGTTTGGTGAAGTCGAACCCCAACATTTATCAGCATTGTGTTAAAAATCAGTTTCTTCACTTTAAGTGTTCGTGGAAATTCCAAAAAGACTTCTCATAACATTTATATTGTTCGCATACACTCTTCCTCGCAACAAATCAAAATTTTCCTTTTTAGTAGTTGAGTTTAGCATAATTATTGGTTATGCCAAGTATTGCGTTAGTCTCTTGGGAGACGATACTCATACTTATGATTAAATTACTTATACAATTTGATACACTTGCCAAGGAGTTAACATCAGGCCACAAAAAACATGGACTAGAGTCAACTACATCAATTCCCAACAACGAATCACTTTATTTACTTAAATCTCTCTAAAATATACAATATGTGGAGTATTTTTCTATGAGTTAATCATTCTTATACTGCTAGTGTAAAGTTTTTTCACACTGGCAACCAATCATATCTTTTAAAGTTGACATGTCACTATTAAAAGATATGATTGGTTGCCAGTGTAAAAAACTTTACACTGGCAGTGTAGGGATGATTAACTCTTTTTCTATTATCTCCAAACCCTATTTTTTTATAAGATTTTAAATGATTTTTTCCAATTGGGCTTATGATGTCCACTCGCTTAAAGCGCTTAGATGGCTTGGTTGAATAAACTCTTCATAGTGGTCCAAGAGTATATTCTAAGTAGCTCACTCGGGGCGCCTAGATGATTCCCTTTGAGCGTATGAAGTCGCTTAAAGCACGCTTTGAGCGAGTGCTTCCAATCACTACAAGGAAAATGATGAATTGCGACGGACAAATTGCGACAGTTATCCTAAAACCGTTGTCGCTTTGATATTGCAACCCTTCACACGACAGTTTCTTCCAACTGTCGCAAAATTTTCCAACATTGCGACGATTTCTCCCAATCGTCGCAAAATTTTTCAACATTGTGACAGTTTCTCTCAAAATTGTCGCAAAATTTTCAAACATTGCGACGGTTAGGAGAAACCGTCGCAAACTTTTGCAACATTGCGACGGTTCCTCCCAATGGTCGCAATCTACAAGACAAAAATTGAAATAAAAATTCACACAAAGTCATGCACACTCCAAAATTATATAATTTTACTTTCAAAAAAATAGAAAAATAAAATCATAATGACATGTAATTACATTTAGAAATGTTAAAAAGGAAAAAATACTTTTATATACTATATTAATTTTATTTCTCTATCTTTTAACTTATTTTAGAATAAAAAAGTTTTATGTTAATCCTAGGAAGCTAAAAATTAAAAAAATATATATATGTTACATTTTTTTATGTGTTAGTGAAATTAATAATACATCTTAATTGTGGATTAAATCGAGAACATTGAAAAACTAATAAATAATTTATGAAATTTATTTTTTTAATGGTTAACTAAATATGAGACATTTGATAAATTAAATTATCTTTTCACAAATATTAACTTAAAAATCACTTCTAGGTTTGAATATAATACACACACACACATAAATTATCTTTTCACAAATATTAACTTAAAAATCACTTCTAGGTTTGAATATAATACACACACACACACAGACACAGACACAGACACACACGCACGCACGCACGCACGCACGCGCACACACACACACACACACATAACCCCTATTTAATTAGAATCTAAAAGTTAATTTTAGTACAAACTAAATATTATTTTGTTCAAAAATTACGGTGAAATTTGATAAGGTTTAGGATTAAAAATACATTTAATAGTAGATTAGACCAAAAGTAATATTTTTTGTTTGGAAGTATTATATTATTTTCTCTCTCCTCTTTTCTTTCCCTTCCTCTCTCTTTCTTTCTCTCTCTCTCCTCTTTCTCTCTCTAGGACCTTCTCCCAAAATCCACCTTTTCCAACACCCCCAACCCCCTATTTATAGAGTTCTGCCTGCCTAACCCGGAACGGCCCGTTCTGGGCCCGAAAAAGCTACGTAAGTTTTAGAACTGGAACGGCCCATTTTGAAACCAGAATGGCCCGTTCTAAAATTAGAACGGCCCGTTCTCCCAGTTGGAACGGCCTGTTCTGGACCCGTTCCCAACTGAAAATTTAGTGTCTTTTTATTGCTTGGAACGACCCGTTCCAATTTTGGAACAGCCCGTTCCAAGTTACCCATTTACCCCTCTAACTTGAATAAAATTGCGAAAATGCCATTAATAAAAATTACAAAAATACCCCTTTTAGAAAAATGAATATTACAATTCTCCCCAACAACAAAAATTTTCGTCCTCGAAAATTCACTTACTTAAAAAGAGATATGGGTATTGATCTTTCATCTTGTCTTCCAATTCCCAAGTGGCTTCATTAGTAAACTCATCCCAAATAACCTTCACCAAATTGATAGATTTACCTCGCAATTGTTTAACTTTCTTATCTGCCACTGAAACTGGCTGTTTCTCAAAAGTTAGATTCTCTTTAATTTGCACTGCCTCTGATTCCAAGACATGACTCGGATCGTGAATATACTTCCTCAGTTGTGAAACATGGAACACATCATGCAGATTAGAAAGGAATGGAGGTAATGCAATCTGATATGCCACTGGTCCAATCCTCTTGAGAATTTGATACGGCCCCATAAACTTA